TGCATGTATGCATGCATGTATGTATTGTGCGTATATGCTGGTATACACATTATTATATGTTTCTGTATGTGTACACATAATTACCGATAACCTCATTTCCGGGACACGGCCGTAACAGCCAGATGTCGGAACATCCTAGCCTCGTCCTTGCGTGCCCAAAAGCCTTAAGCCCCTGACTCCTCGCCTTAAACCTCGGAGCATGTGAAGCAAAAGAATGAAATCACAGCCAAAGGAAGCACTGACTTTCATCCTTCGAGGTTTGATCTTGTGCGGAAGCGCTTCATACCTGAAGATGAAGGCCAGGTTCTTTCAGTGGCGGGTTCAGGGCGGCCTGCAAGGTCAGATGCTGATGTAGATTTCCCGAGCTTAGGACTCAAAGCTTTGGGCATTGAGCGAAATTCGGGTTCGGGGTGACGGCCTGAAGACCTGAACTCAGAACACGATGTTGCAGTATCCTATTCAGGTCCCCATCTCGGGGTTGTTCTAAAATGGCTCTGAATGGTGACGGAGTGGACATTATCAGCTCGGACAGCAGAATGTCTTCACTTGTAACCCCGGTACACAGTACATACCGGCAGTTGCCCGGAATGTGTGGGGTGTCTTATGCTCGCGAACAAAGCACACACACAACAAGGCTTCCGAAAGTCCCGAAACCCAAGGTTTGTTCAGGGGATTTGCGGGTTCCAGAAGACTTCCATGGTTGCAGATGCCCAAACCCTGGAAGGTTTAGGTCTAGGAAAACTGGGCTTTGGGTTTACGGCGCAGTTTGCTTCAGGGCGCTCCTCAACTGCTAAACGGGCTTGCGCAGGCGGCTTTGTGGTACCAGAGGGCAAGACTGTTCCGCACTCAGCTCTTGGTGGGCTTCGGACGGATCAGTTGGGTTTTGTGGTGTGTCATCGTTGGGTATCAGGGACCGACGACACGCAATGAGAAGGCCTGCTGCGAGGCAGCTATGGAGCTCTGGCTTCAAGATCCCTCCACGAGGCATCCCATTACTTAGTACCCCCTGCACAGTTCAAGAGAAGCCTCTCTACGTAGCTGTTGGGGACTCTGGAAACGGAACACTGTTTCCAGTCAGATTCCCAAACCCTCAAGCTCTAAACCCTGTGCAGGCTCTTCGTAGCTTTTGGAGCCCAGGACCTCAAGCCCAGGTCCATGATCTTCGTCCTTGGCCCTTGTTGGAATAGGGTTCTGCCTTGCCTGGAAGCCCTTGGAAACCACCGGGATTCGGAACATCGAAAGGTCAGAACTCTACCGTCCAGGTGCTCTCCTACCGTTCCAGGGATATCCTCTTGGTGAGCTCTGACTTTGGTCCTGGCTCTTTGACCAGTGCAGGCCCGGGCTATGTGGGCTTTCGGGGTTCGTGTGGATTCATTAAGTGTGTAAAGATTCTACCTTGTAGTATGTTCAAGGCTCGAGGTTACAGGGCTTGGTTCGTAGAGTTGCTTGGCTTCATGGCGCAGTTTCGTGACAATACCTTCCCAAGCCAGTGTGCCGTCGATTCGTGAAGCCTGTCCCTCGCAACTTCCCTACAAGACCAAGTTCAAGTGCTGATGCGACGCCCTTTTCTTGCAATGATCCGCAGGCTACCCTCGTGTGGTGAAGGCTTGGCAGAGGGGCACGCCGCTGAGTGATGCTACTGTCGTGTACGATGCTGGGCCTGCTATTAGAAGCCGGGGCAATCAAGCCTACCGTAGAAAATCCTCAGTCCTAAACCAAAACACTCGATGCACAAATCCATACACAAGCTGAGACTTGGGTTCTGTTTGCCCAAAGTGGAGTGGTCATATTTTTCTGGAGTCTGTCAACCTAACTCTTTTCAAGTACTGTACCCGGGTTAGGAAACAGGCAGCCTCCTGTCCAAGACCTACATACACACCCCAAGCATGTCGTGTCGGTTGGAGTTCGGTCACCCTGTCAAAGGTCCTCATTGGCGCTTTCAAGCCCTAGTTCGCCTAAACTCCGGTGCTTCGTTCTGAGGCCGTAGATTGCGTTTGCGAGCTTGTGTTCGGAATAGGATGTTGAGGTGCCGATTATATGCAACGGAGGTCGAATGAGGTCCGGGATGCACTGTATACGGCTCCTATATTTCAGGCGTATGTGTGTATATATATATATATAAGATGAATTGGTATAATCCCAAAGTATCAAAGCCTCGACCAAGGAAGGAGAAGCCTGCGACCATGCGACCCGGATTACATGTTCAGCTTGTGCTATCTGTTGGGGCGTTGATTTTACGCATGGCATGGGCTTAGCAGACTAGGGCAGTTCCACGGCTTTGGGGTCGGGAAAGGGTAGCAGGTTCAGGCAAGAGGCACCCATGGCAGAAGGGTTCTGATCTATGATTGAATATGTTCTGTGGCTTGTGGCTAGGAGTCAGGATGCTTCCTGGCGTTTGAGTCAAGACGCACTAGTCACTAGTCGTCTAGCGCCCAGCTTGAAGCTGGAGCCTCGCAGAATCCCGACCAGGACAGAGCATGAATCCCCACCCTTATTTGAAGGTGCTTTTGTCCTTAGTGGTTTCCCCTATCCGGTCCTAATTTGACCTTCTTGCGCATCTCCTGAGACACGCCGTGAAAGGGTTTGGAGAAGGCTGAAGCACAGGATGGAATGAACGAAACCTCCGATGCCCGGAACCTGAAAGCCTTGAACCCCAACTCCTCATCCATGTTGTTTGCAGGAACCTTAAACTCAACATTCTGCTTGACTTACTTCTTTTGCAGGGAGAAAATTGGCAGTAGCAGGGCATGCTTCCAACTTCGAGACCGATCCCGATAAGTCTAGGTTGTATACGGCTACGTCGCACGGCGCTGGCGCAGAGAACCACTGCAGGCTGGAAGATTTGCGCCGAATTTACACCGGGTTAAACAAAACGGTTTATGGCTTAGAGTTTCAGGGTTTCGTTTTGTGGTTGAGATTCAACGTCTACAGATGTTTTAGCTGTTTAGAATTGCTAGACCTGGGAGGTCATGAAGGCTTTCGTGTGCTCATGTCTCATCGGTGCTCCGTGACCAGAAATACAAAAGGGTGCCACGGTTTGCTTCCGTGATGCAGCACGCATTGGAGCTTAGGTTTGCAATCAGCTTGCCCCGCATGTAATTTCAAGAGTTCATGATGGTAAGGGGCACTGATCGCCACTCGGATGTCGAGCAGTACTCGCAGTCGCGTTTCTGCACACGTTTGGGCGTGATCCGCAAAGTCCGGCAGCCTCAAGGAATTTCCTTGACCCCGGTGGCCCCGTTCAGGTTGCACGCAAACAACCCGCAGCTCAAAACACAAGACAACAGGTGATCCAGCGGGCTACGAGCTTCCACGCATCAGCTCCTTGGCTTATCGTCCCGAGACTCTGAAAACGAATCCAGGCGCCTCAACTCGCCATGCAGTCTGAAACCCGAAACCGTAAACACAACTCTAAGCCGACGCGGCCTAAGCCCTGAATCCCCAACCACCCGTAGCCAGATGCTAGGCCTTAGGCCTTTGCTGTGCCGTCGCTAGGTCTTAAACTGTCCTGGCAGCAGCAGATGCTCGCTGTCTAATAAGTACAGGAAGTTAGCATTGACAGCACAGGATTTCAGGTTCAAGGTTCCGTTTTTGGTTTTGGTGAATGGAGTTTGATGTGACCATCGTCTTCACGAAGAGGTCTACCTGTTTCTCACTCCAGGACGTGGCATCTGTCCGACGGTCCCTTCCACCATGTTCTGGTCTCAAAATCTCAGCGGATGGCATCGTTAGACCGTTAGACACAGTTAGCAACTAATTCCCGCGACGTTCGTGAGATGTTCAGACCTTCCCCCACAAGCGCATACCGAGATGATGATCGCTCTGAGCATTTGATTGAACCTCCAACCTGATGAGAAGGTTCAGAGCCCTGTATTTGCGTGCGTTCTGTGTTTCGCAAAGGCCAGAAGGTGGGCCTTAGGGAACCCCAAAGCCAAAGCCTCCTGGGCCTTGGGCCCAATTTCCCATGGACTCGCTTCCAACGAGACGACAGTTTTCTGAAATCCCAATCATGCCATGTACTAGCAACCGCCCGGGCCGTCCGGGCCCATAAAGAGCGGCCACCAAGTCCTGAACCCCATGAATAGGGTTTAGGGTTTAGGGTTTAGGGCCATGAATTCAACCAGAACCGACTGGGAGGAGTGGTTTCTGCTATCCCATGACTGGTGCCAACTGCCTATCCCGGCCGACGCGGTGCCTTGCTCAGGGATTTAGGGCTCCTTAAGGGCACGGCCTGGGGTGGGTGGGGTGTCGGCTTGGGGGACGTGGATCAGAACGGAAAGGTGTGGTTCGAAGGCAGTGTGCATGTGACGATGTGTAGCATGGGTATACGCTGTATCTCTCTTTGCTTTGGTGCTTTTCTCTATGTCAATGTCTCCAATCATAGCTTCTTAGTTTTAGCCCTTATAGCAGCCCGTGTAGTAACCCTTCTATTGAAAAAGAACCCAAGGATGTCACCTTCTTCGGTTCGTGGTTGCTTTTGCAGCTGCGCAGTGACTTCGGTGGTTTTCCTCCAGGCCAGAAGCTCTCTGCATTTAGTTTAGAGTTATTCTGGAGGGAGATTACGGGTGCAGAGCTCAGGGTTTGGGCTGTTGAGCGTTCCCGAATGGGATCCTTCCTTGAATGGTCTTGGCAATGTTGGGTTGTGACTGAGGGCTCCCATACCCTAAACCCTAAACCCTAAACCCTAAACCCTAAACCCTCAAGGATTCAGCTTGTGAACCTGACACAACCCCCGCGTACGTGCTCCATCCGCCTCCACACAGCCCGTATGCGATGCTATGCGGTGGACGGATCAGTATAGGGGAAGGGTCAGCAACCGTCAAACCCTAAGCCCTAAACCCTACTTGGAGGATGATGGGACTTAGTAAGTAAGGTTATAAGTCGCCTAATTGGGGTTATAATTATAGTTACCTTAGTTATAACCCTATACTTACTAAGTCCCATGATCCTTTAAATAAACCGTGCTTACTTGAAGGGTTGCGGGAGCCGGCGTGCAGGAGCCCTTGTCGCCTCTCCGCTTGATGCAGCGATGGCAGCGAAAGCCGAGTGGGAGGTCGGCCATCGAAGGGTCCGGGTTTAGTTTGCAAAATTTTGGGGTTTAAGGTTTAGGGTTTAGGGTTTAGGGTTTTAGTTGTGGGATTTCAGCTTCCAGGGTTTACGACGTGTGCGATTGAGGGGCTGGTCATAGTTAGTGGTTAGTGTGAGGCCTTCTGCCAGCGTTGTGTTCTGTGGGTTTGAGCTGCTGCTAGCTCCAGTCCAGGCATTTAACGTGGTTACAGACTATCTGACTATCTACTCTGTTTGTTGCAGGTTATAAGTCTCCTTTCGTTGATATTCTGTTATTGGGATCTGAGACAGAAGCTGATGTCCGGATACCGGGATGCAGAACCGCATGTGAGAGTTGAAAGGTAGCAAAAGGCAAAACATGTCCCCTGTCCTCGAAGACGAAACACCTCAGTTTGCCGAGTTGTCCATGTCTCATACTCAAGCTCATGTTGAGTACCCTGTTGACCCTGAGTCTGTTGAACCAAATACGATGCTCCCATGATCCCTGTCTTTTGTTTTTGCGATAGCTCTGGCGCCTGTAATTCGAGCAGAGTAGCAGGTTCTGTGGAAGCCGGCGCGCTGGGAACCCGGAGGGCGTTTCAGCACTCAAGCCAACTTCAAAACATCTGAAATGCGCCGGCACTTAAAGTATTAGTGGTCTGTTTGACCGGAACTGCTGTAGATCTATACGCAGACCCTTTGCTCAAATTGAAGTTGTAAATCGAGTTTTGCCAGGAACCCTGGCCAGAATTCATCCCTGTTTGCGCGTGTTGTTGGGGGATGCTTTGCCAAAGAGCTGGTCCTGAGCTCTTGAAGCTTGGCACCCTGTGCAGATCGTGGTATGGTAGTTGTAGCCTGAGGCGACGAGGCAGCTGGAACTCCGCGATTCTCCACGCTTCAGAAGCTCGTTTGCACCTGCTTCTCGGCAAAGACTCGACAGATGGGTGTTGTGTGTGTGGACATGAAGCCGCAGCTGGTGCTTGCGAAAAGTCTGCAGGCAAATGTAGACACGGCAGTGAGCCCGTAGATGTGGTTATCGTACTATCAATGCAAGCCAAGCATTTTGGGCATCGTGGCCAAGTAGTCATCGAAACAGTCACCTTGGGAGCAGCCGGAAAACGGAGGCTTAGGAACAGCTCGAAGATTTATTTTCGCAGCAGAATGAGCAGAAGGAGTACGGCCAAACGATAGCAATGGCCTTGACCATGCACAGCAGTCTCTATGCAAAGGGGGAGAACACGAAGCTTCGTTTGTGAAAATCCTACAGGCAACTACATCGTGCTGCAGATCCTCGATGGCGTGCGCAGCAAGCTGCTGACATTGCGCTTTGACGTGCCTTGGGCTCCACCACAGACCTTTGCCAAACGTAAGTCTGCAAAGCTTAAAGGTATGTCCGTATGTGTGTACACATGTTGATACATATTCTAAAGCATGCAGTCTTGAAGCCTGAACCCTCGGGCACTTTAACTAGAGTTGAGACCCCGGACCTTTCACCCTACATCCGACAATCCTCAAGAGGCAAACTCGCAGCTCTGAATTTGGGCTCAAACCTATCTCCCAGAAGCGAGAACATCAAGCAGAGTAGATCTGGCAGCATCACTGTATTGGTTTGTCAGAATGTCTCAGAACTCATTCGGCTCTGTTTTTGGCTGACGAGAGACTAGCCTTGAAACCCAACAACCCATTACAGCAGCGGTTTTGTCAGACACAGGACTGTTCGGGCACCTCTCCTGACGCTAGGATCCGACAAGTAGGCGGCTGTCAGGCAGGACTTGTGTGCACGCGTGGAGAACCAGTACTGTAGCAACTTAACCCCTTTCATACGCAATGACAAAGCTCAACAAAGCACGTATAAGCCTAAACCCTAAACCCTAAACCCCTAAGCCCCTAAACCCTAAACCCTATATAGGTTTTCTGAGATTCTGTTCAGGAAGGGCGAGGAGCTTGGCGGAGCAGGAGCTGTGGCTCCCTGGACGGGCGACCCTCGACTTGCATCTGCTTAGGGTCATGGTTGGAGTTTCTTCGGGATGTAGAAAACCACTGCAGCTACAAGACCTGGGTTGAAACCTGACATGACCCTGCAGCCACAAGCCCCAAACCCCAAATCCCTGATGCTCGGGTTTCTATCCTAAGTTTTAAGTAACTAGCCTTACTGTCCATGAAGCCCTGAATCCCTGAAGGCCCGTGGTTCATGTCTCGTTTGAGCCGAGGTTCGGCATCGGTCTCCGTGCGAGCCGTCGCGGCGTCACGTGATGCCGTGTGGTTTGGTGATGCCACGCGGCCCCGGGTGGATGAGGATTGTTCCCGAGGTTTTGTAAGGTTTCAGAATGGGGTTTCGAAGTTATGTGTTTGTTTATCTTTTACGGCCTGGGACTTGGGATGCAGCTTGTTGTTTCGAACCTGCCACGGCAGTTTCTGCGAGAGCCTCGATGATGAATCACGAACATCGCTCTTTGCCAGCAGCAATGAGCTGACCTTGGTCTATCATGGTCTTTGCATCACATGACTCTATAGTCCTCAGAGGGAAAGCTCGACACAATGGATCAAACAAACCCAAATTACGTTGTCGAACGCTTAAGCCTCAAGACATTGAGACCCGGATGCCATGTACGCCCAAGCTTCAAAAGCTCAAAGCCTGGACACGCGGTGGAGTCTTTTTTGCTTCTGCTTGAGACGGTAGGTCAATGAAGCAGATAGGCCCGAATTCCAAGAACCTACAAACTAAGGTTCAGAGTTCAGAGTCAGTGCACGGGAACTGTTGGGAAATAGCTTCAGCAACACAGGTGTCGGTTCTCGGATTTCAGGGTCCTCAGAGCCAGAGCCGATCATTCATGTTCTCAGTCGAGGCTGCCTATACCCAGCCGCCCAAGCTCATCTATGTGCCGGATGCGCCTTGTCCTAGAAATAGCCCAGGTCCGGACACGGTTTGGGCGCGAGATATGCCAGGGAGAGAGATCTAAATCGCAATCCAACTGTTTGTGGCTGAGTGGGGACAACCCTATCAGCCCTATCAAACCCTGAATAGCCATGAATCATGGACCATGGGCGAAAGGAATTACGCATGGTTCAGGGCGTTCTCTCTATTCCTGTCTGTTTCTGTTTGTTTGTCTCACTCTCTCTATCTCTCGCGTTTCTCCCCTCCTGCTTGCTCACAAAGCGCATAAATGTTTGCATTGCCGAGATTGGCACGTGGAGTGGCGAGACGGCTGCAGGACAATGTGGGCAGCTTAACATGCAGCTCATGGACTTGAAGATTAAGCGGGGTGTGCAATACTTCAAAAAATCCGACGCACATAAGCAATAATCATGCTAGTGTCAATTGCAGGAGGAGCCCGTGCCGTGATTGGGGTTGTCTGCAAAGGCATTCGGCCCATTTTGTTTATGCCGGCATGAACAAGACTGTCAGCACCATGCTAGAAGCAAGAGACACTATGCAACAAGCACAGAAGCAGCAATTGGAAAATCTGAGATCCAGCAGCCCCCTTGCGCACACGCAGCAGCCCTCATTCAGCTTTACGGCTTCAAGGCTTGAGCAAAGCTCTGGGTGAGGGGTGCAAGGTGTCCAGGACTCCGGGTTCGTGCGGGCCTCAGGATCACAATAATATACACCTAATTAGCGAGCGAGCTTTTATTATGCTCGTGGTTGCTTTGGTTCAGGATTCTGAGCACATGTCTCATAGATTTTAACTGCATAACCTTCATCCCAGGATGCCCAAAACAATAAGCCTTACCATAGCCTCAACTCTGCGCAGGAGCGCAGCTGGTTCGAGAGCTTCCTCCTCTCTTTGAAGCCTCGGTGGATGTGCGGCAGTTGGAGGCAAGAGTCAAGAGCTCGAGCTTCAAGCCGGAGGGCTTTGACTCTGGGCTTGTGGGGACGTTTTGGTGGAAGGAAGCATTTTGGGCACACTGTGGTTATCATGGATGCATCCGGCAACGCATGGCAACGGCCGAGAGCGTCTAAAACCTCGAAACCCCCCAACCCCACACTTGAAACCCCAAGTCTTGCTTCACCAAACTTGCCACATTACGAACCCATAACCCCACACCCGAAACCTAAACATAATGCTTACAAGCCTAAGCTAGTTAGAACCCCCGCATGTACCACAAACGCCAAAACACCAAGACCGGCAGACGTACAACCAAAAGCTCATCAATCCCAGACACCGAGCCACAAGCCGTGTGGCTGGTGCTGGTGTTTGTGGCTGGTGGGGGCGTGGCTGGTGGGGTCTGTGTGCCCCGTGGCTGCTCTTTGTGGCTGGTGCGAGCGTGGCTGGCCGCCGTGGCTGGGCTGTGGCTGGTGCCAGTGGCTGGTGTGGCTGAGAAGGGCCTGTGCGGCTGGTAGTGGGGGTGTGGCTTGTGGCTGGTGTGGCTGGTGGGGGCCTGTACCTGTGTGGCGGGTGTGGCTGGGGGGGGCCTGTGGCGGCCTGTGTGCTAGTGGGGTGTGGTTGGTGTGGCTGGCGTGGCTAGTGCTGGCGGGGTGTGGCTGGTGTGGGTGGTGTGGGTGCCGGCTGGTGGGGGCCTGTGTGGCTGGTGTGGCTGGTGGGGTGTGTTTTGCGATATTCTGCGGTAAGGACCGGCTTGATGGGTTCGGTATGTGGCCACGTAATCAGCGATACAATCGGTTCGGTTTGCGATACACTGCGGTATGCCATAGACGTATTGTTGAAACAGCCATGAAGCCAGGAAAGCATTTTTCCTCAGATCTGTCAAACCCCAAACAGTTTAAACAAGGATCCCCTTAGCCCCACACCCTAGGCCCGAAGCTCTCCTGCACACATCTTGACGAAGGAAGCCGCACGAACAATTCAACCCCGCAGCCCCTCAAAACCCGATTGGAATCAGCCCCACTCCGTAAATCGCAGGCGACTTCTGCCGATGGTACATCGGCCTCCCGTCTCAAATCTTCGAGCTCCGCTGAGGTCCATCTAAAACCGTTGAAGCGTTGTTCACTTTTCCTTACGGCCTGAAGGTCGCTTGTGGAACCAGGATCGAATGGAAGAATGACTTAGTTTAGAGGGCCGTCGTCTGAGACAAGATCTTCACAAGACAAGATCTGACAAGTCTTCGGTTATGTGCTGTTGGTCATCGTAGCTCGTTCGGAAACCACTAGTTATACTACACTAGATGCTCTTGTATTGTACCATTGTAGGGCAGCAGCTCCTAAGCCCCAAACCCTGACCCTGAAGTCGAATCGTGTCTGTGAGGTACCTTTTCAGTGTCTTCGGCCACATTCCGTCGTTGATCCTCCGACCCTCATCTACGCCTATGGAGGCTTTGACCGACCAATGTAGAGTGGAAAGACAGTGAAGGGCTGACGGCTTAGGTTTTTGGGTGGCGGGTTCGGTCAGGGTGTGAGTGGTCAGGCTGCGCGCCATTTAGAGGAGGCTAGTGACGGCTAGTGAGGCTAGTTGCGGGTCGAGTAGGACCAGGGGTTCAGATCAAGAGAATATACTTCATTGGTTGTCAGTTTTGCTTTGGAGCTTAGTAGGATATGGGCGTCGGCACCGGTGCAAAGAATCTATGGCGGGTTCTTGGAGTTGGAGGGCTCCGACTGGCATTAATTGGTTGGAACACGAGACGGCTGTTTTTCCAATCCACGAATCACGCAAGCATCATCCTCGCAATCATCATCATCATCATCATCATCATCATCATCGCCACCACCACCACCACCACCATCATCGTCATCACAAAACACCAACAGGACAGTGTCTTCGACCACCGCACTACTCTTCGTCGTGCTCCTCGTCTCCGTCGTGGTGGTCGTAGCCTTTGCAGTGGCCGTCGCAGCAGCACGAGCTGCGGTAGAAGTAGTGCAGGAATTGCAGTAGGAGAAGTAGTAGTAGCAGCTGCAGTAGTAGGGAGCTTCCAGCAAAAGAACCGCAAAGTCACCACCAACACCCCAACAGCCCTTCACGAGCTGCGGAGGCTTTGGAATCCCCGTGCTGCCAAGCTACAAGGACGCCTCGCTTCAGTTTCTCAGGAGATTTGAAGGCATTGAGGTTTTTGGAACTTTAAAGTTCGCTGGCCGAACAATTCGGAGGTTTTGGGACTTTCTATGTCGTGGAGTATAGAGGCCAAAGCGCAGAAAGCCTAGGCTCCATGAGGCCAGGTCAATGAGTCAATGCTCCTTGCAGTCCTGCAGGGGACAACTGTTGCCGCGGCAGCTATCACAGCAGTTCACCTGAGGACCTAACAGCCACTGAAGCTCGTGAATGCAGCAGTATGCATACTCATGCATACTCCTCACATCACGGGGGGCGAGGTGTTTTTCATTTACACTTTCTTAGTTGTTGACGAATCACATACAACACTCCACAAAACCTGCACGAGCCCAAACCCAAAATTGAGTCACAGACCTCCGGCTGAAGGCCACGATCGGCGCTGCGTGGTTGGAGCGCGGAGGGCAGTACGTGGAGGTTTGGAGTCTTATTGCCGGGAGATTTTCGCATTTCGGGTTGAACAACAGCCAACTTTAAATTAGAGGTTGAGGATCGCAGATACTCCTCCGAGACTGCTCGCCAGGCTCCTTATCGACAGCATAGTCCATCATTGCAACCAGTGCTCTATTTGTCTGTATTGCAAACTCCATCCTATTCATGCCCCGCGTGCAACCTCAGTCTCACCTCCGATTCTAGACTTCTGCCCTCCTGGAACAGTGACCCAAAGAGTGCTGGAGCTGCAGGTTCCTTTGCAAGTACGTGGGTAGTTGTCAAAATTATGGTCCTTTTGGGGGTACCCTAAATAATAGGTGCCGTATAATAAGGACCCAAAAAGGGACCATAATTCTGACAAACACCCATGTGAATCGTGGCGCAAACGTCGCATGTTGGGTCCAGTGCTTGGAATGCCGGTTGTATTCCCGGTTTTTTGTCGGAGCAGATCCCAAGCCGGCTGCGCACGAAGTTTCATAGATGCGCTTGGAATCTCGCTTGATTCTTGCGATTGCCATGGAAAACACTACCCTGAACCCCGCAAGCCCAATTGCTACAGCTCCGAAAGCTCTAGACCCCGAGAACAGGAACCCAAGCACATGACCGGACATCAACTTCAGCAGCCCGACCCCCAATGCGACCAACGACAAAGTAGTGGAGAAAACTTTCCGGAGCCCTCGAGATCTGTAAGAACAAACAAGAACTCAATGAAACAGCTTTAGATTCCGAACAGATTCCTAGACTTCCGAGACAACCCTAAACCCCACACTTTCCCTAACCCCCCAGGTACAGGGTACTAGAGCCGCTAGAGCGGTTAGGGTTTTGAAAGGGCTTTTTGAAGTCCCCGCGTCCAGGCGCACCTGCGCGGGGGCGGCGAGTTCGGACCTGCTTGGGAGGCGTTTCCTTTTCTGGGAGAGCTTCAAACTACGATAGGGGCTTTAGGGTCTGGCGTTTTAGGGTTTAGGGTCCTGAATAACTAGAATAGAGCGGGGGTATATTATACTTATTATACCAGACTCGACCCCAAACAGCAACAAATGGGAGACAAATGGGAGACAAGTGG